CTTAGTTCAAAATATTATAGCAAATTATCATAGAAATATAAATAATAGTCAAAAAGATAGTAAAACTAAAAAGTATTAATATTTCTTTTTATAAAATGGACTTTTATTTACTTTGTAGGTCCATAAATAAGACAAAATAAAGTAAATTAGAAAATTAAGTGATATAGGCATATATAAGAAAGAATTAAGAGTAGATTTTAGCAAAATTTACCTCAAGAAGCCAAGAATTGATACCCAAAGAGGACCAGTTGTCAATCTAGGTCAAAATCAGATCCTAAGGTACAAAACTATATATCTATGGTGTTTCTAGGATTCTTTTGGAAATTAGAGAATGGAATTTGATAGAAAATTTAGTAAGACTTTTATGGGCATTGGTTTTGTATGATTTGGATTTATAATGATTTTATAAGAGCTTTTCAAAGTCAAGATTATTTTGGATAACTTGGATTATTATGAAATAAAATAGGATTGTTGTTTTGGACAAGTTTAGAAGTTTTGTAGTAGATTTATAAGTAAAATTTTGCATGTTGATGGTTATAGTTGTGATTAATATGTATTATAAATTTTAGCATAATCTAACAATTAAATTGAGGATTTTTGAGGTTTAAGTGGGTCAAGGTCTCAAAAAGTAGAATTTTAGGTCTAATGAGGGTTTTTAAGTTTTCTTGCAATCTACTAGTTGGATTGGAGTAAAAATTATGTATATAGATAGAAGACATGTTTTTCTATATATGTGAGAATTTTGAGATTAATTAAATGGTGCAAAAGAGAGATGTTAGCACTAAAAAATCAGCATCAAGATTGAAGAAGGAGGTTGGCCAATATTCGAGTAGATTTTAGGATTTTTCTCCTATTTATTAAGTGCAATTGTCTTCAAATTTTTTGTACTTATTTTTAACTAAGAGATTAAAAGGTATATAAAATTTTAAATAAGGTCAATGATTTAATCAAAAGATATCAAGATTCTAAACTACCTTAGGATTTGCCTAGGGTTTGATTTAGGGTTTAAGCTTTGGTTAGGATTTGATTTAGGATTTAGGATTTGGTTAGGATTTGATTAGGATTTGATTTAGGATTTAGGATTTGGTTAGGATTTGATTAGGATTTGATTTAGGACTTTGGATTTGATTAGGATTTAGATTAGGGTTTAGGATTTGATTAGGATTTGGTTAGGATTTGGTTTAAGATTTAGGATTTGATTAGGATTGGATTTAGGATTTAGGATTTGAAATTTATCTAGGATTCGATTGAATTCCATTAAGATTTCAATAAGGATTAAATTAGAACTTGGTTGAGTTTTGTTTAAGCTATATTGTGATTATTTTAATATTTTTTAGGACTTCTTAAGGATTCTTTTAAGGTTTATTGTGGATTATCTTTCAACTATTTTAAGATTTCTTATTATTTCTTTTATAATTTCTTTAATATTTCTTTTAAATTTGATTAAAGCTTCTTTAGCATTGTTAAGATTTAAATAGATTTTATTTAATATTTTATTAGAATTAAAATTTTGTTATTACAATTTCCATTCTATCTTCCACAGCCATGTGCCTAGTGCACTCTCAAGCAACACTTCACGTAATATGACAATGGTCCTTCAACTAAACTTTGGTAGGAGCCTTTAACCAATGGCATATAAATTATATAAGCTTAGAAGAGCAGAGCACAATTACTTTACATATGATTAAGAGCAATTAGCAATTGTACATGCCACAAAGTTGTGGCAATACTATCTATTGAAAAAATCAATGGTTATTTGGATTGACCATCGATTCTTGCTACACAATTTATAATTGAAAAATATGAAATCATAACATCATCATTGGAAAGAATAATTATAACTTTTTGATATTCAATCTTAGTACAAGCAAGGTCTACAATATATTGTATTAGATAACTTATCATGGAAACTAGATTTGAAGGCCAAATTGAGAGACAAGACAGAAGTTGCTATCATTAATAGTATCATTTCAAACCTAGCCAAAGAGTTAGAATGAGAAGAAACTACGCATTGAGATGCTTATTTTAAGATGGTTAACAATTGGCTGAAGATAGGTAATACATAGTATGAAGATTAAAGTCTTAATGATGGTTTATTTTATTTCAAGAAGCAGATTTATATATCTGACAATCCTATACTTCAAACTGGCATACTTCAAGAAAAATATGTTATTCTAATATCTAGACATCTAAGGTGAGAAAAGACTCTGGAACAAATCTCAAAGATATGGTTTTGGACAAGTTTGAATCATGATGTTGGAGCTTTTGTGCACTCCTATAAATCATGTCAACGTAATAAAGTATGCAACACAACGTCTCCTAAACTATTACAGCCAATTCCACTACCTATGTCACATTGGAAGTATGTGACTATAGATCTCATTACGTATTTGCTATAGATGCCACACAATCATATTGTAGTTGTAATCTTTGTGGATTGACTCTTGAAGCAACTTCACTTGATTGTAATGTGCTTGAATATTTATGCCTCAATGCTTGTACAAGTCTTCTTCAATACTATCTTTTGTCACCATAGATTACTTCATGTCATCATTTCAAATGAAGATCCATACTTCTTGAGAAGTTTTGGCAAGCTTTGTTCATGCTATTAGGCACATGACTTGCAATATCTATGGCCTTCTATCCCCAAATAGATAGATAAATAGAGCGTGTAAATTAAATTTTGGAAGATATGTTGTGAGCATTTTTAGTAGTTCATTATAATGATTAGGATGAATATTTGACGCCCTTGGAATTTGCTTATAATAACAATATTCAAGCAAGTATCAATTATTGACCATTTTTTTTTAACATCAGTCAATATTTGATTATGCGAGTAATTCTTTATTGTTCCATCAACACCAATAATTTAATACCAAAGGAGTTTATATAATGGCTTACAACGACCTTACAAGAGGTACGGCAATACTTCCTTACTACATAGAATTGACAAAAGCGGTATACACATAATTACTAGCAACATAAGACCTTTCGTGAAGGTGATTAGGTGTTATTTTCCAATACCAATTTGCCACTTCCTACATCAATCTAAATTCGTAAATTGGCACATTGGTGGCATGGACCTTTCTGCATTTCTATAGTGATTTTTGATGTTGCATATCGCCTCAAGCTTTTGCAACATATTTGGATCCACCTAGTATAAACAAGACTAGTTAGGGTCTTTAGAGGCATATGGTGAAGTATGACTTTAGACTTTTTTTCTTAATAAAGTTTGGTTTTACATCTTCTTATTCTATTTAATTCTCTTCTATTTCCGTTTGCTTAGTTTTGTCTTTTGCGTCCTATTCTGTTTAATTCTGTTCAGTTTTGTTCTAATCCATTTTGTCCTACCTTATAATGAGGTTTTATATTGTTGTAGATTAGAAGGATCTTAGACTCTTGAGATAGACTGGTCCTTTTTTAGCTAAGATCATTTTAATATTTTTCTATAAATTTTTATTTTTTATTATATATTAAAGTTTTTATTTTAAAAAAATTAATAAAAAATATTATTTAGCATAAAAAATCAATTGACACATTTGGATATATTTTTTATTGCAACATTGTGTAGTAATGCATGAATTACTTATATATATATATATATATATAATTGACTAACTTATGTAGACCACTAATATTGTTGGATACAAAAATGAATTAATAAATAAATAAAACTGAACTTGCTCATGATGCTCATGTGGATGAATACCAATATTCAAAATGCCACCTATCTTTGTGAAGGGTGTTTCTGAGAAATTTCTTCCTAAGATCTTTTTTTTCCTTTTTTGCTGCCCACTTATTATAATCCCTCACCTACTACAACAGCAATAACAACAAAAACAGTGAATGGAACAATATTCTCCGGTCAATGCTCCTCCTTCTGACACCCTTACTTTCTCACACATCCCCTTGTTGATCATAATAACAACGTCACTCTCTCTCTCGTATGGTGAAGAATAAACGATGAATGAATTCGTGTCCACGGCGCCGGCTTCATGATTTTGCCCTGCCCTGCCCTTCCCTGACTGATTGACTGACTGATAGACTGACTGACTGGCTGAGCCAAGTGTGGCAAAGCTGCATGCATGCCTGCCTCGGAGGTCGCCCCCAGTGAAACTCAAATAGGATACGGCACCCCACAAAACCCCCACCTCAAGCAAAGTCCACAGTTTTCTAAAGGTACACCATTGATGTTGTACTCTCTTTCTCACTCACTCACTCACTCACTCGCTCACTGTGGGGCACCTCAAAACCCCTCTCTCTAGATGTGTGTATCTAGCCGTGTCATGTCACTCACTGCGTATCAGTCCACAAGTATGGCCTTCAAGCACAAGATCATTGTGACGCAGTTGGAGTGATTCATTTAGGAAGGTAATTGGGGAGCTTCCACAATGACTTCTGTGTGCAGAGCCGTAGTAGTAATAATAATAATAATAATAATAGAAGATATAAAAATAGAAATATTACAGAAATAGAAAGATACCACGAGGGTATAATGATTCTCCGACGAAACCAGTGCCGAACACTCAAAAAACGTTGCAGTGGTTCTCATCCAGTTTTATCGTCTTGTGGTGGAGAATACATCTAAAATGTTCCTTAAACGGGAGTTGCTTCTACAAAAAAAAAAAACGTCGTCGCCAGCTGGGTGCGAACTCGACGGAGCAAAGTTGGGGATTTTCGAGATTGGAAAAGAATGGTTCTAGCAGCTTGGAAATCCACGCACAAAAAAAAAACAAAAAAAAACAAAAAACAAAAAACAAAAGAAAAACACTAAACTGTAGCATCATCGCTACATGTCCGCGCCATGGGACGGTTGATGATTTGATTCTCTGTCTGGTTTAGATTCTTCGCTCACTGACCGCATAGAAGGTACACACAAGGTACTGGACTGTACTTTTCGTGGGTCCCCCGACTGAAATTTATCTGGACGAGGTCGTTGAAGTTGGTTTGGAGCAGTGCATGTTACCGTTGATATTGCGAGGAGATGGAAGCCACGGTGGGTGGGGATTCACGGATTTGCATGCAGCCGTCGGAGTCCGCTCTTCATTTATTGACGAATGTGGATAAGAAATGGGGGTGAAGCGGGGCGAGAGCTGTGTCGTTGATGGTGCACTGAGAAAGGAGTGTCTCTCTGGTTGTGCTTTGTTGGGTTCTGCGTGTCGCTGCCTCTGCTTTTGTAGATTGCCGTTTTGATTCGTAGAACTCCCTGATTCTGGACGAAAGTTCGCTGGTCTCTTGCTGCATGCAGAAAGCAACTGTCCCCACATGCGATGAGGCAGAGTTTGATAGCGAGCGTGTATGCCCATGCGCAGAAGTCACGGTTAGAACGTGCAGCGATTCCATTTGCACGCATTTGGTATTTCCGAGTTTGTGGAGACGTGTTTTAAGTTTCTCGCGCCCCACTAGCCAGTGTGATTGCCCGTCGAGAGACTGGAAACGGGCGTAAACGCGATGGTTTAGTTTGACAGAATGATGGAACTCGGTTCGCAAACACAACAATCTGTAGGGAATGTTAAGGTTTCTTTGTGAGGTCCCTCGTTCCCGCAAGTCCTTCCGTACCTGTAGGTAGATAGATTCCTAGAAAATATGACGCACAAGGTGGACCCAGAATTGAAGCCTGTACTGTCGTTGCTCGGGTCTCGCCCCGGAGCGCAGGCCGTGGAGGCAGCCAAGCAGGCGCTGGCTCGCATCGACTCGCAGATATCTGCAAACGGTGTAGGAGAGTTGCCCATGGCGAAGATTGAGGCATTACAGGAGGCAGCGGAGAAGGAGAAGCTTCCTTACTTAGCTGTGATCCAGTTGGAGATGCTCCATCAGTCCTATGAGGACCTCTTGAAGAAATCTAGCAACACTCCATCCTCCCTGCCGAATTCAGAAAGTATCGATTTGGCTGTTGAGCTGGAAAAGACAATCGCATCGGCCTCCACCGAGAAATTGGAACATTTCGAATTCTGCGGCAAGGAGTTGAAGAACATCCCTCGATCATTAATGTCCATTACCTGTCTTTCGTCGCTGAATCTCTCGAATAATCAATTGGAGGTAGTGCCAAGTGAAATCGGTGATCTTGTGAATCTGGTGGCGCTTAATGTGCACTCCAACAAGCTGAAGAGCCTGCCGGAAAGTATTGGGAACCTCTCGAAGCTTAAAATTCTCAACGTATCAGGAAATCTGCTGAAAGCTCTCCCCGAGAATCTAAGCAGTTGCAGGTATGCACAAACTTTGTTTTGCGGCTTCATGTTCTCCGTCACATCTACAAAAAAAATTGCGCGCTTTTTGAGAATTCTACCACAGTTTCTGATTGTGTTGATCGTTTGCAGTGAACTAGTGGAACTGAACGCCAACTTCAACCAATTGGAGACTTGGATGCCAGTATTCGGGTGGAAACTGGTCAAGCTGCGGAAGTTAGAGTTTCAATTCAACAACCTTGTAGGACTGCCGGAATCTTTCGGTCACCTTAAGGAATTGAAACACCTGGATCTCCGCAACAACCATCTCCGTGGTCTCCCCTTGTCCATCGGAAGTCTTTCACATCTCGAAACCCTAGATCTGAGCAGAAACTTCAGCAACCTCTGCACTCTGCCCGACACCATTGGCAACCTTGCGTCTTTGTTAACGTTGGATCTCAGCTTCAACCAAATCCGTGAGCTCCCCCCTGCACTTGGCAAACTCAAGAATCTCAAGAACTTGATGCTCGATCAGAACCCACTCGTTGTGCCTCCTAAGCGGGTGATCGAGCACAGCCAGGAAGCTGTGCTGGCCTACCTGCTGGATCTCCTTGAAAACGGCGTCGAATCCAAGCAATCGGCTGTGGGACAAATCAGGAAGAAGGTGAGCCCAAGGTCACCGGGAAGAGCATCGGTGGCTTGTTTAATGATTCCTGGTAATCCTCGCCATGACCACGCCGGTGGGTGGGTTCCCGTCAGACCAGGCAACACATGGATGCGGAGTTTCTTAGGCCAATTCATGTGTGGGGGCCTTATGGGTGGCAACACATTGCGATGGCAAGAACATCACTCGGATGACGACTATTAATGTCTTTCTCTCTTGTATTTCCAGTAGCAGATTCGAAGCAACTGACTCTCACATCCCAAACCCCTTTGTCAATATATATATATGCCGCAATTAGCACACCTTGGTAATTTAGTTTCAGACATGGACCGCCTATTTGTCAAGACTATGGTGACGTTGAAATGGTGTGTGCTATTGCTAAAGAGTGCACCTCGATTCTCGTTGTAAATACAGCTCTGACAGTAATGTACTAGACTGTCTGAAATGTGAGGTATTTCCTGCGAAACCTTTGATGGTTAACAGATGAGAAAACGTTAATCTTTGAGCATTCCCAAAGTCGCATAGCTGCCGTAGCGAATTCAACATTCGTACTCAAAATTTTATGTACCCAATTGACGCACGCAATTGGCACACTCCCCTGCGAAGAAAATCATCTCCCCACTCTGAACAGCGTAAAATCTGGCAACCATTGATCTTCATCACAACTGAACAATGTTATCCACAACTCAATATTTCTGATAATTTACAGCCCACGGCCATAACACACCAACTACCTAAGATGAACAATCAATCTGGCCTTAATTTGACGGCACCAAGACCAGCTTTAATTTTAAGGCTGTCAAAGAGAATCTCCTACTCTCTTTCAGTGGCAGTATAAATACATCGTCGGAGATCCTGAATTTCGTGTGGTACGCAACCGACAGCGGATTCAGCAATCGTTGGCAGTCTTTCATCCACCGTGAAGTATAAGTCTTTTGCTGTAGAGGCCCATCTCTCCCCAGGTCAATTACTTAGTAGTTCGCAAACAACTGACACAAATGGGCAAGTAAGTCGTCGCAGGTTGATACGACGACAACAACAGCAACCCATGAGCCCACCGTGACAGGAAAGTCTGAGCACAATGCTTCACCATGAAGTGAGACTCCAGCACCATGAGGTTATGTCAATCGAGCTGTGCACAATCACCCCTTGCTCCACCATCGCAGAGGCTGCATTGCATTTCTGATATCGACGACATTGTGAAGAAGAATCCAAGTGCAGCTGAGTGAAATTGTTTACTTGCTGGCATGCTCCCTCCCTGATTGTTTGTTTCATCCACCTCCTCCTACTTACTCTACTAAGCTGTTGATTTTTCACTTCCTTGCTAGTGTTGGCTCCGGGTTTCCACGTCCCTTGTCCTCGAAGCTATTTCGTGTTTGTTCGTGGATTTGAATAGATGCAACATTTCCATGTGCGGGTGGAACAACATTCCATGATTATATCAAATTTATACAAGTTTTAGAATATTAAAATTATATATATTATTTGAAATAACTATGATTTTCTTTTCTTGTTTCTTTTGATATATACTACTACAATTTTTTCTTCAGGTTAGTATTTTCTAAATAATATATATATATATATATATCTCTCTCTCTATATATATATATATAGAAAAGACTATTATATTGATTTTATGTATATGATTGTTTCTAAAATTCAAAATGACTAGTTATGAGATTTAAATAAAAATAAAAATAAAAAAACACTTTTTTTTCTATACAAAGGAGTGTTTTTTAAAGTATTCAATTCGTTTCTAAAAATAATTATCAACTTTAAAACTTGTAGTGGCACAACTGCATCACACTATTTCTATGCATAGAATAAACTCAAAGCATCTAATGTTTTTTTAACAAAATTTTGCACTCAAACTCAGCAAAGAATTTTAAAATTTATTTTAGATTATTTCAAATTCTAAAGATCTACCACTTAAAGTTGGATTTACAACATCTTTGAGGTTTAAAGATATATTTTACAGTAATAATCAGTATTTTTATAACTTTCAAAGTAATGAAGAGTAAAAATTAGTATTCACAAAAAATAAAAGAATTTTCTTACATTTTTAAAAATACTTATATAAAATATACTGATTGTATTACATATAGGTATGACTTTTAGAATTATAATAATTAACTTGTATGGTAGAAAGATTACATTATAATAATATTTTAAACATAACCAAATCAAAGTTTTGATTAATAAAGGAATTTATAGTGAAAATAGGTCTAAAATGCAACATTCTAGCCAAAATATTTTGAGTTACACTAATAAATAAAAATTACAAAAAGAAAAATTGCAAGTCATTAAAAAATTAAGAATTTGGTTTTAACAAAATCATTTTTTTAAAAAAAAAATAATAATAATACTAAAAACTCGGACAACTTGGTTTAAGATAAAAACACAATATTCCCATTGCAACTACTATTTAGGCACCAAAGGAGTTGTCTGCATATATTAATAAAAATAAAATATTTACAGACATACAAAAATATTTTAATTCTTTTAAAGTAGATTGAGGTAATTTATACGAGTTACCTCTGAAAAAATGATTTTTGAATGTTAATATTGAACCAAAGTTTAAGGAAGATGTAGAGAATTTAATTCAATCAATTCTTTTTGAATATATATATATATATATATATATATTTAGATTTTTACTTACAAAAATATAGAAAGAATTATTTACTAGTTAGAAAAAAATTATTTAAATAAAAAAATTAAAAGAAAAATCAAGGAATTCTTAATATAAAACAAAAACTGAAAAAAATTATTGCATGGAAGAAAATAAATCCATATAAATTAACTTAATTTAAAGCACATCTAAAAGAGAAATTTTAAAAAATACTATTTTTTTTATCAAATTTATTCCTACAAAAATAACGGATTTAAATTCTTTACTTATGAAGTTTATATTTTAAAACTTTATTATAATATAAAAACATAAAATTAATAATTTAGAATTATTCCATAAATTAAGAAATTATTTATATTTACATTTTTGTACATGCATACATGGATCTAAAAAAATGGTACGAATTATTTTTTTAACATTTATTAAAATAATAAAATCAATTCTAAATATATTATTGAATTACATTTTAAAATTTTGTTTTGATTTTTCATGATTATCTTTAAAGTTGTTTCTATTAAATTGGAGTTATATTAATTAAAATTTATATATTAAAAATTTATTTAATTTAGCAATATATAATAGATTTACATATTTCTTTGCTATAAAATCTAATATTTAAATCAATAGACTTGTCAAAATTAAAAAAAATAAATTCCATTTTTTACTTCTTTTTTTAAAAGAATAACTAAGAAAAGTTTATTAAAATTAAGCAATTAAAGTTTATCAAAAGCCGTAAATATGAACCTTATCTTAAATGGAAATGTTATGTGGTTTTTAAGATATATATTTTAAAAAAATAAGCATCAAATTAGTGATACAACCTTGATTTATTTGGTATGTTATATGTAGTATTTTTTTTTTTCTTCTTCCTTAAATATTTTGTACTTTTTTCAAATTAAAATATAGAAACCTGAAGATTTATAAATATTATGAATTATCAAATCAGTTATTTCTAATAAAACTCTCTTCTTAGTAAAATTATAATTTAATTAAAATGACCTTGTAAGTGTTAAAAGTCTAAATTTTAGCCAAAGAAATATAAATTTGTATTTATATTATTAATAAAATAAATATTATTTTATATATAAATCCCACTATTTCTACACCATAAATAAGCCATATTCCAAATATAATATTTTTTATATTTTTATATTATCTATATTATTCAATATTCACATTGTAGATTGTTTACAAGAAATATAGTATTTTGCAAAGATATTTAAACCAAATACTAACTTTCTTTTATTAATTTTTAATGAATTTTTAATGAAATTCATTCTTAGATATGTATATATATATATATATATATATATATATGTATACCTATTTAATCTTAATTTTTTTTTGAAATAATTTTTTACAATATTTTAAAAAAAAATTAATTAAAATTAAAATTTTGTATATTTTATAAAAAAATTATCATATTACTAAGGTTTTTTCTATTGACTTTCCGATTAGAATAAATCATGTTCTAAATTTTTAAAACAAAAGAATTGTTGCATTCAAAATAAGCAACAAAAGTATCCTAAGAAATTTAAAATACATACATATTATGAAGTTACAAGACTTTATTAACTTTAAATTTAACTACATACATAAGATTCATAGAATGAAAATTACTAAGATTGTTGTAGAAATATTTCATAACTAAAAACCAACTATATATTTGGAAAAGTTTATAATCTAAAGAGCATAATTTATTTAAAAACCATTGCTCATTGATTAAAACTCGATCAATAAAAATTAGTTTTATGAAAGAAATATACATAAAGTGGTATCTATCAAATTTAGTGTGATTTAAAGAATGTTCAAAGACCAAATTCTTTGTATCACTCCATGGGTTGATTCAATAATACTCCCCTTCAAACCCATATCTTCCAAAAAGTGTTTATTCCAAATAATGTGTGAAATCTCTCGTGAATGACAAAAAAAGCGTATAAAAAGTAATGGGGAAACGTTTTAGGGCTCTTATAAAAGTAAAAAGGAAGAGGATGTCCTCAAAACGGGATGTGATGGGCAGGAGGGCCACATCACAACAGCGATCACGACGACACCTGATCTCTAGGTCTCTTGCATCTCCACCCTCCGTTCTACCCCCCTTGCAGATCGACGGTACCGGGTCAACTACGTACCGCCCAACCAGAGAGAGGTTTCGCAGCGCGGGTGGGGGGAGTTCCACCCCTTCCCGCCCACTCAGCCTCCACCACGTGACCCTACTATTTAACTCCACGCGTCCACATCACTGACTAGTCCACTTGGACCTGCGCCCGCGACTTTGTTCCGAAAAGTAAAAGCATCCTGGCTGAGGATAGATTTCATTCGCACATTATCTCGCCATCGCCAGTGGCCGTGTATTCGACCAAGCTCCACTCTCCCCCTCGCCGCTACTGTATATTACTGACAAGATTTTCTGTATTGTACCCGGCACTTGTTTGTTTGAGAATCCAACACAGGCATTTCTCACGGACAGGTTTGGTTGATTGTTTGATTGATTCTAGAGCAAAGATTGTGAACGGCAAGTAATTGGCTGCGCAGCCAGGTGAGGGTTTGAGATTTCGCTCGAGGCTTTAGACCCGAACTTTGTGACTGTGTTATTGGGAGATGTGTTGAGTTTTTCTTGTGTTTAAGATTGGAGATTATGTGGTATGGTTCTAGAGGTGATTTGAGAGTGATTGTGTGGTTAAAAGTAGAGTGTACAGTGGGGAAATATTGATTGAGACGGTGGCGTTTGTGTGAATTCTGGCCGTATTTGAGTCTGGAAATGACAATCTGATTTGTTATCCTCTATGTTTTTGGCTATGGCAGGGGAATGAATTGTATATTTTCGGAGGGAGTCTTGAGGTGCTGAGGTAGCGTTTTCTAGAAGTTGCATAGGTGAAGGGAAGCTCTTGATGAAAATTTGGAGCTCGAATTGATAACGCACATGTGTTTTTGGATGGGCAGAGGTTTTGTTCGGACAATTGGAGGGAATTCCGAGTATGTCGATGGCAGTAGTTTGCGCACATTTGAATCTGCTCGGTCCTAGTATTGTTGCCACTGAGGCCAAAAGCTGCAGTAGATGTGATGAAGTGTCATCATCAGGGAGATTTGATCCTCGCCAGCGGAAGGCTTCTGGAGGTCGTAGAGGATACACGTCTCTGATTTGCCGAGCTACTGGTGTCGGCTCAACCCCTGAGTCGACGCCACAGCGGGCAGATAACCAGCGGCGTCGAACGTCACGTGAGTGCCGCAACATTTTTGTCTTGCTCAAATTATGCAATAGTTCAGTATCATGGACTACCTCTTGAATGACCCCTCATGTCAAAGTTATCAGTAGCATAAGTTTCGTGTTCTGACATTCCATCTGTGAATACGTACCATGTATCCATGCTTGGAATTTTGATTTTATGTCAGCTGTCGCTGAATTTTCAATTTTGCTCCTGTTTCTGTAGAAGTTAGCAAGGGATCGACACCTCGCACGCCTACTTCCAAGCCGGTCGAGAAACCGGATGAATCGAAGATTGACGCAGAGCTAAATGCCATCAATGACGACACAGAATATGAAAATGACGACGTGGAGTATGGAAATGATTTTGAAGAGGGGGAAGAAGAGGAATACGACGTACAAGATGACAGTAACGAAGGGTTAGGTGATCGAGCTGATGAGGCAGTCGGTGCTGTTGCGGATGCCGCTGGAGTTCCTAGAGACGATGCCACCGTCAACAGGGCGAAGAGAACTGGAAAACGAGTGGGTGACAATTTGGAAGACATTCAGGCGGAGGGTCAGGAATCGGCTAGAGCAGTGTCGGGCTCTGCTAGCTACGCCGCTGACACTAGTGGGAAGAGACTACAGAAAGCCGGCGAACGTGTAGGAAAGAATTTGGAAGAGGTTGGAAAGGCTGGTCAAACTGCGTTTGGAGAAAGTGGAGATGTTGTCAATCAGCAAGCGGGGAAAGCGGTGGACAACGTTCAGGAAGGACTTGAGGAGGCTGGAAAGACAGCTCAAGACTTGGCTAGCATTGCACAAGATAATGCAGAGGACGCCGGCAAGCAGTTACGTAAGGCTGGAGAAAATATCACTGGTGATCTTCAGGACGTTGGCAAAGAGGGACAGAAGGTGTTGCAGAGAGGTGGCGAGGCTGTCGCTGATCAGGTAATGGATACCACTATGCTTCCTTTCGTTAATTTCCGTGTAAATTTGAGTTTTTATGAATATATATATATATATATATATATATATATAAGTATTTGTGCATTGCTACACACACAGATACATATGTTTGTGTGTTTCCTTCACATATTCTTGTCTTGTTACTGTATGCAATCAACCAATGTGTTGACATGCATTTGTATATTTAATGTAATTTTGCAGATAAAAGATGCATTGCCTGATGATTTGAGTCGACGAGGTGACAAGATACAGAAGGATGCAAATCGAGCTGTACGAAAGACAGTGAAGAAAGTAGAAGAATCAGCTGATAGAGTACAAGACCCAATCGAGAAGGCTGTCAATGCGTCAATGGATGCTGCAGCAGCAATTGGAAATGAAGTTTTCAGACTTGGTGATTCGCTTATTGAAGCAGTTGAAGAAGCTACTGGTATGTCAGGACCTGACCGGTCATCTAGCAGACCTCAAATGAGGGAGGGAGAATCCGAGAAGAATGAATCAGAGGAGTTGGTTGGGGGTAAATATAGGTCTGCTGGTAAGAGCGTTATAAGAAAATATCAGGGTGGTGTTCGGGAGGGAGGCAATGACTCTCAAGAAGAAAGTGAAGATCATCAGGAAGATGATGCTTTCTCAGGCTACACTGTTCTTGTAGCTGGTGCTGCTGGAAGAACTGGCAGGTGTGCATCATGTCTTGACATGCTCTGTTTTGGCATATATATTCAACGATTTGCGTCGTAGCTAATGTCTGTTTAATTACATGGATAGAAAATTTGATCGATAATATGTGATTTTCTTCTCAACTCACACCTCGCAACAAAGATGTATGATTTCAATTTTGGAATTTTGTAGGTTGATAGTAAAAGATCTTGTCGCGAAAGGCGCGACTGTGCGTGCGTTGGTGCGCAACGTGTACAAAGCAAGAAACTTGAAACAGTTGCAAGGCGCACAGGTAAAATCTATCTGTTTGTTTTTTCACAAGAAAACCTGTCAGACTTGCGCTTTAACTCTTTAACAATTACGTGGTTCCGTGATTGCATAAGTGGTATCTTTATCAATGGTAATTCGTGTGAGCTTCTGGAGAACCTTATTGTGATTCTAAAAAATCTCGACGCGGTGAAAATCAAAATATTGTGATCCGAATGTTTTGTGTTCAATGTTATTCACTATATGTAATTTGATGATGTGCAGTTAGTTGAGGGAGATATTTACAACTACGAAGTAGTGAAAGAAGCGATGGCTGGAAGGTATATAATACTGACACATTTATCTGGAAAAAAAATATGGTTATACTGATTTCACTTGTGTAATATACTGTATCTCAATCTTAGAAGCTAGGTGCCCGTTTTTCAATACTAAAAGTCAGAACACACAAGTATTGTTTATGTTTGAGAAAGCGTGTGCAGTTGAAAATCATCAATGTTCATATTCTGAGTAGTAAGATAGCTTTGACTCTAAAAGAAGCTTACATTGGTTGTAGATGTTATGAATCTCACATATTTATGTTTTTATGCAGCAATGTTGTCATCTGCGCTGTTGGAGCTCGAGGTTTAGGTTCACTTGACCTTGTGGAAGCATACAAAGTAATCACTCTCACTTAACATGTTGCATTATTTTATTCTTATCATCATTCATCGTAACGTTCTAACTTTTAGTGAAATGTGTGATCAAATTTTGTAGACGGAATATGAGGGAGTGCTGAATTTGATTTCGGCTGCAAAGAATCAAGGAGATGTGAAGAAGGTTAGACAAAATACTTAACTTCTTATAGTCATCAGTGTTTACAACTCGGCTCTAAGTCACATAGACTTCTCCTTTTATGTTATGATTGATCCCTCAAATTCAGATTCTATAAAAAAATTGTTTTGTGCTCTTTACAGTTCGTCTTCATCACGACAATTGGGGTCAACTATCTTCAAGTTGTCCCACTCCTTTACTGGTGAGTACTGCTGCTAAACTTGCAATTTCATCATTAAATTACTAAATCAACTCCAAAGTAATGTTATTAGATGAAGCTACATCAATTTTGAGTAAATAATGAAATTAATCATTTAAATATTAGTTTGTTTCAAACTATTTATTGAGTTTAAAGTTATTGTAGTCTTGAACTAGCATATACAAGTGATGATTTATATTAGCTTAATTGATTTCCGTTAGTTTTTTCTCTAAGCCATCAATATATCTAAACCAGATTTGGATTTGATTATTATGCATGATGAGTACTATTTTTTTTCATTTGATTTGTACAAGTCTTGATGATTCATGTCAAAGATGTCTCCAATTTACAAGCACTTCTAACGTTTTTTATGACCTCTCAGGAAACGCCAAGCGGAATTGTTTTTGCAACGTTCGGGCCTCGACTACACTATTGTGCGCCCAGCTGGATTGACTGGTGAAAGAGGGGTATGTAGTCGAATATTTACATTGTATTGAAATTACTTTGTTTTAGTATGTGGGTTTAGTATTGTTGATGTGGTAGATATCTTCCGCTTTCACTTGTCTTCGGAAACTAAAGATTAACTGATGTATCCTGCAGCAGAGCGACCGCGTCGAGTTAAGGCCTGCAGACAGCCTGTTCATGGGCGGAATTAGTCGTCAGAAGGTAAGGGTGGAGAAGAAAATTGCATGATACAATCAGAAAAGGTGTGAAGACTTTTGGTATTGTTGAGCAAATACAGTTCTTTTCTGTGTGTGTGTGTATATACACTTCAAATTTTCACTTCGCTAAATATACTTGGTCACTGCAGGTGGCCGAAGTCTGTGTATCAGCCATGGTAACGCCGTCTGCTTCAGACAAAATCGTGGAGGTTGTAGGTGGCAGTGGACGAGTGAGGAGGAGCATTGAGGATCAGTTCGAGAGTATTTAAATCCACTATGCTGGAATTGCTATATTTTTGTACCCAAAGCTTTTGATGTTTAGGTCATTCTAAATAGTCGTAGCAATGAGAGTGCTGTATATTACCACTAGAAATACCTCAAAGCAGAGTTAGATAGACCAATTACTCCGAAGTCATAACTGTACAAAAAGTTGATTACCTGCACCATGGAATATTTATGGTATGCATTTAGTATTACACAGTAAACTACAAATGACTTCTGTAACTACATACTTGCGCATCGTAAGAACCATCGTTGTTATTCTCAGCTGCAGTATTTGTGAAACTGTATCGTCTTCGTCAGAGCTAGCCATTTGCGCGTGCCATCAGCCAGCTGCAGCAGATTCTGCGTGCTAAACACTATAACGAACAGCATCTGAGCCTGGCAGTGGTTCCAGGCAACTCGCATTGTAGAAATCTTCCACAATGGTATTTTCCTCTACACTTGGGAGGTAGTTTATTTCTCACACACTGGACCAAGCTCGTCTGTTGAAGATTTTTTCATCGACAATTAGCTTCTGGCAACAGCATTTGCTATACAGTGACATCGTGTAATCTCAATGGAATGATGTTTCTGAGCTAATATTAGCTGACAAAAAGAATGCAAAGCTCGTTATTGTCGTTCATCGTAGCATCGTTTGATGAAATCGACATTTTGAGATAGCTACATGGGCATGGATTGTGGACCTTCGAGCAAGAAGACTCCTTTTATTAATAAGATTATATTCCTTTCTCGTAATGAAAATTGTATCAACTTTTGTGCCTACTTTATGCATTTTGGAAAATATGAAAATTAAAATTATTAGCTCGAGTGACTACGAATATTTCAAGTGAGAAAGAGGATAAAAGCAAAGTAAAAACGTATCTGAATACCTACCAACTTAATCATTTGCTTTTGTGTACATTCTACAACATATTTCACTTTTATTTTTATTTTTAACCATTATATGATTTTTAAGTTTACACTTGGGCAAAAAAAATTGTACAAATGTGAAATTAAAAGTGAAGGGTTTCCACCTTTTTTTAAAGTATTTTAGTTCAGTAAAGAGAAATGAATAATCTACTTTACATGCATGAGGTAACTTCAACTAAACTCTATATATATTACATCTAAAAACACATAAGAAACTTTACAAGAATTCAGAAGTCCATATCTATAATGTAAAATGATATAAAAATGCATGTTAAATTCTTTAAAATATTGAAATTTGTAGTACTGTAATTATGAGAAAAAAAAAATAAAAAAAGATAAAAAATAGTTCAGAATAATTTTCCTCAATTCAATTCCCATTACAAATTTTATTCAAGTTATTCAATATTAGTAAGGAAATGAAGTTTATCATTATTTATATTTCAAAAACACATCATTTTACTTCTGATATTCTACAAACCATATCATAATTTAAGAGCACCACTGTTTTCATTCAACGTCAAAATTTCACACACCAATAAACATGATCTCTATAAGCCAGCGACTGCTTAAATAGAGACACTTGGAGGTACCTTTTCTTTTCTTTACTTTAACTCTCCTTCCAACGTGTCAACCGATGTGACATCCGACGTGTCATGCAGAGGTTCCAGAAGCAACCCACACAAGTGGAAGCATACAAATCCAGCAGCACCGCATGAGAAAGCATCCACCCACAGTCACTCAGTTTGTTGAAACTTCGGCGCGTGACATGCATCACCAGATCGGCGACAACGCCATGGATCTGAAAGACGATGATAAGGTGTGCTTTCTTTACGACATTATCTAGTTATTCAACCCAAGTCGGCTCCGCACTACTGCTACAGCCCCTGAATTGATTCCTGCGCGTCACCAACACCGCACCAATTCAGGAAAAACTGCGACCCATCGACCGAAACCATCTGCCGACACCACCAGCAGATGAAACTGGGACCGGACAATCCAGGCTCCTAGTGCAGATCGTGGTCTTTGAACCTCCGGGTTTGGTTTTGCTCACTGCCCTGAATCCTTCTCGAATCCCTCTACCCCGCTCCGGTTAAGTGAATGTGCCGCCAGTGCGACCTCGTGGTTCGAACCAGCTGAAGGAACCCTACAGTGCCGAAGCCCATGGTGTCGACACAGGCTGTTTTTTTTTTTTTTTTTTTTTTTTTTTTTGGGGGATGCTAGCGTTGGACAGGTTCGGTTGGGGTAGCTCACCGCAAAGAGCACCACCACGGCTTGATCGAAGCCATTTTCATGCCTTCTGGAGATGGTAGTGAGATTGGTGTGGAGGTCAAAAGCTAACAACATTCACAGTCAGCAATGGAATAGAAAAGATTGAGTTCTATCTGTATACTAGACGACGCGGAACAACACATTTTGAGATGACTTCGGATGTGGGTAAAATTTACTGAGGAAATGCTTGCATAGAGTTTTGATGGATTGAAGGGACTAGGATTGGAGTGCGGTGCTTTATGTGTGACTTATTACAAATTTTTGGATAATAAATAATGTGAAACTTTCTTAGATTACAAATAAAAGAGTGGAAATGAATATGGTATAATTATCATGAATACTTGAAGAAAGAGATTTAATTGTGGAAGTTTTGAGAATTCATATACAATTGCACATGGCATTATGAATGTGCTTGAATTTCTTGTTACAATGACTTTGCAAACATTTTCAACAATGTCATCAGTATAAATTCAAATATATATCTTTAATATTTAAATAAAACACATACAAGTCACGAAGACCTCTGCATCAGAATGATATAATTGTTCAAATGAACGGTATATGTATATGTTTTTTTGAACAGTGAAATAGCTGCATATAATTTGCTTATAAAACCTTAGAGAAGTGGACTTTTGCATCATTAATATTGTAGGACAGGGTGATCAATCAAAGTCTTCGCTATTGTGTTTCAACTTATGGATAATACATTCACGCCTCTGTCCAGCTCAAATGGGCTTGAAAACTGCCGGTCCGGTCAGGACGAATCACCGATCTCGTGCCAAAAGATGACACATTGAAGCCTCTGTCAAGACGAACTCATCGAGGAATGTTGATGCAAACTATTGAAAACCAAAAACAGAAACAGGAGGTGATGTTCAAGCCCCCTCAGAGATTACGATTCCATATTCCATATTAATAATAGAAATCCTTCAACAATGTCAAAGTAACGGTGTGTACGAACGAGGGGTCCTTTAAAAACTACGATCGGCATCGACCGCAGGCTTTAAACACCAGTCTGAAACCGTGGCCGGAACACCAGAGAAAAGGTGTTTCCATTATAATGAGAAAACAGGGATTGTACAACCAGGTGGATAATAGTGTTTGAATCATAGAATGCAGTTACGGTGTTCAGTCTTCCCTGACACGCTGTCATCCGGATGCAGGAGATATACTCACTGCCAGTGGCAGTAAATTCCCTGAGAATGACCCAGCGCTAGCAATCAAACTATCAGCAGCATCGTGGCCCACATTTTGTTCACGAGTCAGGCGTGACAATGCACCGCCCTTCGGCTCGTGAAGGTCCTCGTCATGCATGGCCAGAGCCCAACCTCACTCACCTAGCCACACACACCGCCCATAGAATCGTGATGCGATCTAGACCATCATCTTGAAGCACTGCAACTTTTCAGTGTGGAGGAAGAAGCTTGTGGCCGGGCTGGAGGGCGAAGACGAAGGCGTGTCTTCAGTTCCATATAGTATGAAGCTGCTGCTGCTTTAGAAGGCTTTCCAAGATGCCCGGGATGTGGACTCCGCGTAGCACGACGACAACGCGGCGCAACCGTGGTGGGCAATGCGAGGCTGGCGTAGCAGTGGCGCCCATCTCACCAGTGTAACTGTCACCGCATGTGGGCAGATTTTCCCCAGCGAGAAGTCCATTTGGAAGGTCCTGGAAGTGAAACAAAATAACAACTGGTCTGAAGCATTGTTGTCTGTCTCGCAGACTCGCATGACATGCCAGACTGCCAATGCTTGAATTGGAGCATTTGCAATGACGAGCTCGGCGTGCTATGCATCTGGCTGTCTGTCCTGTACACCTCTGTCTGTATCTGTGTGTCTGTTTGTGTTTGTGGATGTATAAGTATTTGTGAATCTATACATACATACACTCATATATATATATATATATATACATATACATATATTTATATTTAAAAGGTCTTGATCATACTGGAAGCATCGGGCAGAAAACGTAGATAAGTAAGGAACATGCATATGTGAAGTACCCCAAAAATGATTAATATTGTTTCATGTTCGCACAGACTCATGTTATTGTGAAGTCTCCAAGTTTTTATTATTTTTGATGTGAAACAATTGAGGAGAGAATAAACAAAAAAATTCAAAGGTATTCAGATGTATACATGAGTATATTCGACTTTTTAAAGTAATCTGAATAACTGCCGAATTGATGTTTTCTTGCATTAACAACATTAGCTTATGGGTGAAGACGGGAAATGTTAAATCTTTGATTTTTGGGTGGTCGATCCATAGAATAATGTTTCCATGCAGTTGTGAAGCTTGTTTTTTATTTTATTTTATTTTTTAATTTTTATTATTTTTATTTTTACTGTACCGTTTTTGTTGATACATATAAATTATTCGCTTATTTCATTTGAGGTTTATACATCAATATAGTTGTTGTGTCATTGAATCATTTTCACTGAATGAACAGTATTTCATAAGTCTATGATGTATTAATTGTCGTTTTGTTATAAATTTATCAAGTAATGTTTTTAAACCAAAAAACTTCTTGTATTAAATAAAAGGTTCAAATACAAATTTTACAATGGTTTTTATATTTATTTAATTCATATTCTAAGCATTTGGACCTTCAATCCCATTCTAATATATATACAATCCAATCATTACATCTATCCAACAGAATTTTTCTACTCAAATTTTATATTATTATTTCCTGTCTTTTAAAACATCATTAATATTTATTTTTTTATTGTTTTTTGAATGAATGAATGAATTTCTGATTAGAATAAGAATCTCTATTTTTTTTTTCAGCCAAATCATTGTAGTATAAGTGTAAAAATTTCATTTTTATTGATAGTTTAAGTTAAATATTATGTAATATTTAGACTTGAAATAAAATATAATGGATCTCATGTTTTACTAAAGAAAGATTGTGACAGTGTTATTGATACTTATGGAAAGGTTTTATTTAAGATCTTTCAAATAAATCTGGAGTGAATGTTGTTATTTTCTCCTGTGAAAAACTTGTGCACTATAAAATTGTTTTTCAAAGATTTCTACGCAGCCTTGTCATGTATTTCTTTTCCCATTTTTCTTGTTTCATCTTCTTCAGAAGTCTATTGAAATACATAAGAATATTTTCATTGAAAATTTGTTTGTTCTACAATGAAGTGTTCTTGATTGCATTGCTCTATTCATGTCTATGCAACCATCTCTGTTTGTATATATTTAAAATTCATTTAAAATTTATATTGACTTAAACTTCTCCATCACCTTCTAAGAATTTGAATACATGTAGCACATACAAGTAGTTACATGTAGCACATACAAGTGAATTTGAATACATAGTTTATGCTACATGCATATTCACCTGTTTTATCAAAAATGTTTAAAAAATAAATTACCAACTTAAATCTGTACCAACTTGCAAACAATTGAATAAAATTACGTTTGATACACTCACCAAAAGTACCACAAAACTCCGTACTTGGTCTCATAACGAAGCTTTGAACTCGTTTTGAAAATCTACAATCTGATTTACATAATATACGAAAACGCAAATCATATCTTATAGCATTCTAGACATCACAATGGTACTATAGCATCGGTGAAATGGTCAGCATAACAAATATAGCGTAATGGTAAAGCTTGGTACTCTACATGGACCAGGTATTCTATTTGAACATAAGCAAAAAAAATCGATAAAAATCGAAGGATGGGTTGTACGCAGAAAGATTGGCTGCACATTGTGTGTTTAGAGCTCTGCAGGCTTTCCATATTACTTGCTTGCTCTGCTAATAAGATTCCTGTCCTAGTGAGAAAGTTGTTGTCCTGCTGTGGTTTAAGTTTCCTCGCAAAACATGGTGTCGTATGAGCCATGATTGTACATACACTGGCGGTTGCCTTTGTGTACAAGCCTGAGATACTTTTACGATTCATCTCCTGAAATCCTTCACTGAATCACATGCACTGATGTCAGTTGACTTTACCATTAAACTGACCAGCCTTGATCATCGCACTTGAGATCGAAATTACTATGAATCTCTCAAGTTTGAGTTGGTACAGACTCTCGCTTACTAGGAATGACAACGGCGTTGAGAACTCATGAGGACATTTCATGAAGACCTTCCTGACAGCTGACTCGTTCTCATGCAAAACTAGTAGGATAAGAGGGAGCTGTACAATGGCTGTGCAGGGCTCGTTGAATCTAAGTTACACACAAAGTGTTGGAAATCATCCCTGAATCTTGAATAGTGACAAGAAAATGTCGAAGAAAGCTGCCAGGAAGCACGTGAGGGAGTGATGATGGACGCTTTTCTCGCGCAAGTTCAATGAGTTTTATTCATTAAGTTTCTTGCTATCGTGATCGATGATACAACGGTGCAGTAACTTTTTTGCTTGTTGTTGTGGGATTCTCCAACCTGGAATACAATGCCCCCCAAGTACAATAGACCTGTGTCCCCGAAAGCGGCTACGAATATTCAAGTTTATCATGTCAGGCCATGGCTGGCTTTTTGATTTGGAATAATCACCTCTGGCAGAGGTATGACTCACACATGACCGTATTGTATGGCTTTGTTTAGGAACATATTGATTCCTGTTTCCATCTGAAATGTCATTGCCCTGGAATGTGTCAGGACCCCGAAGGAGCCAATGCATGAATTGCGTCGCTGGTTGCGGAGTGTGTGACTGCAATCCCCACTTGATTTCTGTTTCTACGATGGCAGAGTAGTTTATTCAAAAAAAATCCTGCAGAACCAGGCGGTGGAAGGGCTTTTAAATAAATTGGTACAAATCATCTGATCAATCGAATCTCTTATTTCCATCCCTTGGAGTCTTATGAGGAGATACGATCAAGCATGGGTAACAGCCGACATGGTGTATATATGAAAGCAATTCGATCGCAGGAACTCTGAAAGAACACCGATATGAAAAGAATTAGCATTAATTATGCAAATTCAAGCAATTGTAAGCTCTTCCACGCATTGGAATCTATCTCATTCCAGAACATCTAGTAGTGACTATCTCTCATGGCTGCCTTCATCACTTTAGATGTGGGTGTCACCTGCTCTACCATTTGCTAGTTGCTACCCTCTTGCGTATCCAATTATTCCAGATAGTTTGGCCCAAATTTAAGGGCTTCTTCTTCAAGTATGTGCTAAATGAACACTAAAAGCATCTGTAAATAAATTGCTATCGTCACTCGTCGAACTTCGAGACCAAATGCGTATCAAAGACTGCCGCGGCTCAATTGAACCAAGGTTAACCTCTGAGATGTCTCAAGTCAAATTCCTTATTGGTTATGAGATTTGTACCTGACCGGTGGGACCGAATAACTGCTGAATGCGTAGCAGTGCCATTTGCCGAGGTAGTTGAAAGTCTTCGAGACAAGGACTCAAACATTAAATTTGATCAAGGACTGCAGCCATGCGTTGAAGCTCTGGAGACATGGGGGCAATGATCCGATCACCTACGGAAGGGTCATACATGTCTTGGCCGCCCTGGTGCATGTTTTGCCAGTGCATGGAAACACGAGAGTTGCTGAACGATTGGTCATCTTGCACCAAACTCTGATCGGGTGAAGATTGATCAACCTTACCCTGCCGAGTCTGACTTTGGTGATTCTCTTGATATAGTGTATGGTGCCCACATGTTGCAGCTGAAAATACTGGTTGCTCAGGCGTTGGCATGAGCTGATCACTGCACCATTTCATCACTGTATCGCCATCAGACTGGTCCGGAGAAAAGCCACCACTGTGGTCACTGCACGCCTGAGTGGCAGGCGCGACACTGCTCTGGTCGATCTTCACAGAGCGAGGCAGCATTAACTGATCCTGCTTGGCGGCGTCTGACTTTTCCACAAGTCCACCACCCCAAAAGAGAGTGCTCGTCTCAAACATGCTAATTTCTGTGTTGTTGCTAGTACTGCTGCTAGCACTAATGCCCTGATCCCAATGGTATTGCTCGTGCCGGCCACCTGCTGCCACCTCACCGGAGGTCAAAGCTTTCTCGACTTCCACTTGAGTTCCTTTGAAGGGGTAAGACCTGAGCGAACTATGGTATGCCCCGCGGGCGTTGACGCTGTTTTCTGGAGCTCGCGGGCAGATGATATGGTTTGACACTGAGCTAGCGCCAAAGTGTGGCAACTGGAAGCATGCTGTCATGGAGTTCAAATCGCCCTTGTCCACTGACCCAGCATAATTGCTCCTCAACGAGGCGATCCGAGAATAAGATGTGAAGGGTCCTAATCTCATCTCAATCTCTGGAAACTGCTCCGGAGTACTAGCACCATTTTGATCTCTTGAGGATTTGAAGAACTGTTGCGAATGCTGCAACATTTCCTGCAACCCACTGGACATGCTCGCCTGCCCATGAGCTTGGGAACTTCGATCTGAGCCTTGCAATATCCAGAACACAGGATTGTGAGCGGCCGGTACTGCCGTCGCGAGGTCAGGCTTAATACTGCCATGATGGTCACTGTCATGACCGGAGATTGGAAAGCTGCAAGAAATCATGGAGTTACTATCGAAGTGGGAACTGCTGTGTCCAGTTGGAGGAGAAAAGGGCGGCACCTTTGGCGGCAATTGCAGTCCTTTATTCTCTCCACACAATCGCAAACTCTCAAGAAGATTATCTGTCGAAAGAGGATAGGTACTCATGCAGCTGCCAGGGGAGCTATTGGTCCTTATTAACTCAAGATACTTTTGGTGATCTGTGAGTGAGCCATTTGAACTGAAGTGAGGATTTCTGGTTGGATTGTACATCCCGTCGGACTCCATGTAACTCGTGGAAAACATCCGAGGGGCTTGGAGTTTGCATTCTTGGATGGGAAGTCTCACTAACCCAGCCGCTTGAGAAGTGCATTGTGAGGGTGGAGCTTCTGTAAGGAGAGGTGAAGAGTTGAGAGGGCGCTCATGAGGTGGGTCGATGCTGGAGGAACCTTCTAGATTTGAATTCGACTCCCCATTCACTAGTTTGTGTGTGTTGGGGTCGATACCGATATTTCGTAACTTCTTCTTAATGCAAGAATTCCAGAAGTTCTTTATTTCGTTATCTGTGCGACCGGGAAGCTGAGTTGCTATCTGCGACCATCTGTATTATAGATCAAATAGAACACATTCCGGTCCATTTTATTGCCCAACGTATCACTGACTATTTAAGAGGATGGTACGAAATGCTCTCGAAACCTTGACGTTTTCATAAGATTGGATGACCTCACTGACTCGATAACTTTAATATGATACTCGCATACTTCAGTATGAAATCTACAAATGGGTGAAGATGTAAAGACCTGTTACCAAGAACAGCATGAAGGTCGATGATCAGATTCTCCTCTGCTGGTGAGAAAACCCCTCGCTTTAAGTCTGGCCTCAGATAGTTTATCCACCTTAACCTGCAGCTTTTTCCACATCTCTGTAACCCTGTTGTTCCAGGGCACACCAGCGTCAGCGACACAACTCTTATTCTAAATTGGTGTCAACGGGGTATCTGAACTTTTCTTTTTTTAGAGCAAAGAGGAAACCAGCTCGGTATTCGATCATGACTCATGAGGGTTTGCCACTATGGAAACCCATCGCTTAATGTCCCTAAAAAGCACTTAACTCTAGCTAGTGAGCCGTTATCTTCAACGATGAACTTGCTACCCTATGAGGCAGCTAGAACGACAGTTCAAAGACGACTCAGCACCTACGAAAGTAATGTTTTCACAATGTACATTCCAGGCTGCAATTCGTACTACCTCCCACTCAGCCAGTTCACGGAAAACTAAGTCAGGATTCTGTAAGTTTTCGTCTCTGGCTGAATTGAAAATCCACGACTGTTGGTGTTCACGTTGTGATGGTGTCAGAACTTATCAGACTGCATCAATTTTAGATGCGCATATCTGGCAAACAATACCAAAGTTTCGCAAGCTCCAAATTGGCTGCTGGCCCATTGTCGACGATCGACATTAAGGATCCAATCTACAACTTGTAAGACATGAAGCAGGCGCACGAACCTGCTTGCTTGGGAACAGCGCTCCAGCAGCCATGGCCGTGCTTGGTAATGTATCGCACAAGCTTTTCATCTTCCTCCGGGGACCACAAGCCTTTCTTCAGTTTCTGCTTGTGAGAGCACGAATGGCGGCCCATAACTGCAATATCAGACGGTGTGATAGCTGTATCTTAATCTGAAAGCAGTGCGGGGGTATCATCACGGCACTGATTCCGTAACAGACGTCCCAGTCTGTGTTAATACCATTCACTCCGCGAGAATTCCTTGATGGCATCGTACGGTTACATCCTTCATCTTCTCTAATGCCAGCAAAGGGTAGAACAATATTTATGGTCACGGGTGCTCGGGAAGAAGGTATTCCGCTCCACGGAACTTGATGTACAACCAACAACCTGGGAAATTCCGTGAACACAGATCCAAGGAATTCGTTCCGACCGGAACACCAACCACATTAACTCGGCAAAAGTGCTGTGCTCTTGAAGTGAAACGACGTCGCAGTAACCTGGACACCATGCTTGAATTGATATCTGTCTGATCGGCTTAACGGAGAGCTTCACGGCCACTAATCACGATGATCCGAATCAGGCGATCCCATTTACGGATCACAGCAGCAATCGTCCTGTCCCAAGCTGATTTACTGCTCCGAAATCGAGCTACGTAAGGTGCAGGTGAAAGGAGCTTGTAACTAGGAGCGCGGTTTTTCCTATCTACATTCCCAAGAGGAGACAAGCTCTAACAACATGAATCCAACATTTAGAATTCTCATCTTCCTCGGTGCTTAATAGAAATTGCATGGATGCAGCATTTAACGTCGTAAACAGCTTCTCTCAGGCAGTCCTGTAACAAGAGGTTCTACAAGGTCTTAGAAGGAAGTCAGTCCTACCCCAATGTTCTTGTTAATGCACTAGGAACTGTTTAAGAACCATCTGCAGCAGGATTTCAGCGTTCCGAACGAATACATGAGAACAACTTTCAAAATCAAGTAGGCTAGGAGACAACAGGACACCTCAGATATGTTGATGTCACTCAGGTTGCAAGCTCATCAGGGATGTCTACAGCACAGCTCCAGCCTTGTTTTGTGGCTTCAGAATCTCAAACGTCTACACAGATACAAAGATCGGTTGAGCCCTCGGATACTTACAGAACCTCAACGAGGTCTAACCAAACTCCTAGCCGAGTGCCTTGCAGCAGCTTGAAGTACTGCAAGTATACAAAAAAGATAAGTTCTCTCCGGCCGACAGACCTTCTCTAACACTGGGCCTAATATTTTATCTCTATCCCCAATTCCGTGACCAGCGTGCCTAGATAATCCCGTCTTGGAGCTTCCACCATTTGTACTAAGAGTTCGATGCTTCAACTTCTGAGATAAGATCACAACACATAAGATATGATCAGGACTAGTGTATGCTCCACCTAGTACTAAAGTTAAAATTGTAGGCCAAATACAGCACAGAAGAGGAAAAGTTATGGAACTTCGTTTTGCAGCTTCAAAGAAATTGTCTATGCACAAATAATGCCATATCGGACTTCGGAACGTTACCAGCTGCAAGCATATTGTGTGCATTGATTTTCCTAAGGACCTTCCCACGTTCAGACCAGAATGGTTGTCCGACCGCTTTTCAGAATTTAGACACTGCTGACGGGGTCTCAGGCACAAAGTTCGACAAAACCTAGATTTCTCAACACAAGTCTACTGATATAATACGAGAAGGATAATATATATATATATATAGATATAGATATATAGATATATAGATGTGTGTGTGTGTGTTAGTGACCTCAGAAACGACGGGTATATACTGTTCGTTACAAAGTTGCAACGAATCGGACGTCGCAGCGCACCAGCCACCGAGCACCCACTCACACACACGCACACAAAAATACACACGAAGCCTTCCCCCACCCTCTCCAAAAGGAAAATAGGAGCTCAGGTCCATGTAGGCAGTAGGATAAGATTAAGAAATGGTTTGGTCGTGTGGGCCTCTGGGCAAATGTGCTACGCACTCTTCCTTGTGACGGAACTTGAATAGAGTGCCGTCATCAAAAGGCAGTGATCACTCAGTTTGCAGCTTTTACATGTTACACTCGCGTGTGGGGTCGCGTAAAGTGTTTGCGTCAGTTTAATTAGTGAACTTCACCACAGTCTTGGCGGGACCTGCGTGCTGCAAGCCACTGAACGACCCACACTAATTCAATCACTAGCTTATTAAGTGAACTTCTACGGAAAGTTCATTTCAAGAAAACTTTTAATTGAAATCAGCGCAAAGAGGGATTGAGTTAAATCACGCTGCCTTCGTGAAATAACAGAGCGTCCAAGAATCCACAATTAGTAGCACCGCACTTGGGTAAGACACCCTGGACAGAACATCTAAGACGAGAACAGCACCACGATGCTGGAGTTCGTCGACTAAGGCCCGGTTCACAACGTCACCATGTGCCTCTCTTAGTTTTCAGCAGCATTCATTTTGCACTACAATCTATTAGCTGCTCGACATCTTACGGCGACTGAATCACTCGTCAACATGCAGTCGAGTGATCTGGAGGAATATATCAGGCATATGTTAAAAGGTATGAGATCAATAATGGCTGTAGATTCAGCAGAGGAAACCTCACTGCAAGTGATTAGCATCAAGCCAGTCTCCACTCTCAATTGTTCCTTGTCGTGGCCGTAGTCAACTTGTATATTTCGAGCCAATCCCAAAAGTTGAAGGTCAGCTTGAATGAAATCCTAACAAGCTCTACACATCTCGAAGTATTTTAGACTCCAAACCTCACAATGTACAGATCTCATAAGCTAAAACTTCTCCCAGCTGACACTCAACCCTCAAAAAAACACATCTGGAAGTCAGACAAGATCAAAACACTTCGCCCTGCATCCCCGGCAAGCTGTAACTGTCTGAACTGCAATCGGAAAACCCCAAAATTTCAAGCTAAGGAGGGCTCAGCAGACCAATTCCACTCACAGCTCCTGATGGTCCATCATCATGGAGACGCGTACATTTGTGTGTCTATATTGTAGCCCCACATGATCACCTCGTCGCGGCCACAACTCCTCCCAGAGGCAGGTAGTTAGAGACCTCATTCATGCCCTCATAACCGTCCCAAGCCCCGCATTAATCCCAAACACACCACTGCACTTGCTGATGCTTCACCACTGACAATGATTGATGCGCCTGTACGCGCTCCGATCGCCCATTCATGTACTATAACGCTACCGATCTGAGCTCATCTAGAGTCAGCGCCGAAGGAGCCGGGTCTCGGCTGCAGGGTTGCCCGCTCTGCGCGCACCAAGGGCGTGACCGAGCCTCGCCGCCGACCTCTGGAAGCCGTCTTCCCCGCCATCCCCAACCCCCCGTCCCTCGGCACTCGCGCGCGCGGTCGCGGACGGGCGGACCTATATCCGTGGTGCTGGGCTCACGATGAAGCGTTCCCGACCTCCTCCGCCTCGAATGCAGCTCCCTGTAATACAAACTAAACTCTTCTTCTTCTTCCTTCTAAACACCTATATTGTGGGAAGAAAGAAAAAGATAAGAAAAGAAAAGAAAAGAAAGCCCTACACTTCAAAGGTCTGATTCTTTCTCTTTTACTCTCTAGGTTTGAGGGCAACGGGGTTTTTACTGTTCCTCCTTTAGTTCTCATGCAGGGCTTTCCATTGGGCAGGACTCTCGCCCTTTAGAGTTTGTGTCTGTAGGCACACAACATTCCTGACTGGAACTTATTGCCCCTCATTTGTTTGTTTGCTGCTGAAGAGACAACTGTTGTTACCCACACAAATTCAAAAACATTCTCCACCTTGGGGAGAGCTTCTAAAGCAAGCCATTCTCAAAATGTATGGATGAATGGGGGATTGATACTGGATGTGACTATCCTTCCTCATAGCCTGTGGGCCACTATCACCACAACTGTGGTTGATCATGTTTTTGTAGTAAAATGGGAATGAGTGTGCAAGGCCCACATGTGATCACACCATTGCACCATTGAAATGACCTCTTTGCAAGCACTAGAGCTAATCCCAAAAGACAAGGAGGAGGAGCATTGTTTGAAGTCATTTTGGAGAACTTCTCATTACATTGTCACTTGGAGAAATTGCATGCGTGGAACATTGCCAAAGAAATTGCAGACCAATGAGAAAAGTGTCAAGAGTACATCCATTAAAGGATGGAACCCTCAGAAGGTAGATTTGGTGCTTAAGAGAATATGAAATTGAGCCTTGGAATGGTGGACCAAGGGCACACATTGGGTGGTGTCTCCCAACCCTCATGCATGACTAATTCTTTCTTCACCAACAGTATTACAACATTTTATGCTCATTCAACCCTTGAAATTTCTTTATACATACATACATACATACATACATATATGTATATATATGTATTGGTTTTTACCACATATTTTCTCAATGGCATTGTCATTCTTTTCAAATTTTATATGTAAAAATAAAATTATATTTTTTATTTTATTTTATATTGAAAAGGAAAAGAAACTATATACTTCAAAAGAATTTTGGGATTCTTTTGGAAAGAAATAATAGTGGATTATGTTTTAGAGCATTTGTTCTTAGCAACCCAAGCATTGGCAACTTTTGAATCCTTATTTTTTTTTCTTTAAAAACTAGAATACTAAAAAAACATAATAATATAAAGTTAAGTAGATACTAAGACAATAAATGAATTAAGTTTCTTTTCTTTTATTTCAATCTCTTTTTTAAAAAAAATCCATTCCCTTCTATGTTTAATGATATATTTTCAGCAATCTAAGATAAGTAGAAATAAATAAAACGACTTTTTCGTATACACATAGGAAAAATTATACAATCATGATTTTAATTTTTTCTTCTCTATTCATCTCTCTCTCTCTCTCTCTCTCTCTCTCTGTCTCTCATTGTTTTCATTTTCAGTTTTATTTTGAAGTTAGTTGAATTTTTTATTTTTTGGGGGAAAATCCAGTTCTGCTGACATGTCAGAGAGCTCAAGGAGAATTCTGTATTGCTAAACAATTCAACCTCCATTGACATTTTCTAATTCCCATGGTTCTCAATGATAGGATTGTTTAGGGTTGGTGGACCACCAACTTCATTGAAAGTATGCATTTGTATACACAAAAATGTGGGGAACTTGGGGCACTTGACTTGGCAACAGGGAGTTGAGCAGAGCCTCATCATGGCAAAAGTTGACTGTGTGAATATAGCCTTTTTGAAGTCCCATTGTAAGTAAAATTTAAAAAATTTAATTTTAAAAAAAATAAAAATAAAAAGGTGGACAAGAAGAAGGTTCTAGTCCTCTTTCTCATCTCATGTGGCCACTTGTCTCCTTTCCTTGTGACAAGGTCATTGTGAATTGAATTTTTGTTCTTATTTGTTATTATTTGTACTTATTTGTTCTTATTTATTCCTTCCTTGGAGTACAGTCAAGTTCTCATTCTGAGCTTCTCATTGAACACTCACAATCTCCTATCCTCCCAGTGAGACTCCATAGACCACAACTATTGTAAAAACTTACTCCATTTGGAGTCATGTACACAAACAAAGTGAGTCTTTTGAATTTTTCTTTTGATACTGCCTCTTCAATCTAGAGGTGGCAATTTTTAACTTAAAAAACTGGAAAACTTTAATTGTGTTGGATTCCTTTCCATGTGGGTGTATGTATGTATATATATATATATATATATGTGTGTGTGTGTGTGTGTGTGAGAGAGAGAGAGAGAGAGAGAGAGAGGATTCTTCTAAATCATGAAATTAACTCATTTATTTCTCATAAAATAAATCAGGTGTGTTGTATCTCAAATTTATGAAGGTAGAAATGTAGTTATCATCTGTAAAGAGATTATATTGATTAGCTTACAAGCAAACTAAGTGTTTAGTTAAAACTTGACTAAATTATTTTTAGTGTCTTGGAGTTTTATCAAGAGAAACATATGCCTTCTTAAGAGAATTACAGTTTTTTTTTTTTTTTTTTTTTTTTGACAGTTTCAACAAGTAGTTTTAATTTTCAAATGATCACATATGTTTATTGTATTCAGCACCTAATGGGAGACCAACACATGTCATTAACCACCTACACCAAAAAATACAAACCAAAATTTTTCTGTTCTCACACTCACACTCATACTCCAATACACCCCATTGTATCCAACAACAGAATGGATCACTCTGCAACTTCCACAACAAAAAGCCAATTCATCCATGTTAGCAAGCAATCCCTCCTTGCCATGCAGGCCTCAAGATACCCAACACATGGAACCCTAATTTCTCAACCATTCCTTTGTCAATACGTGTCATTGTTCTTGGCAAGCCTTTTTAACCTAAATTTCAGGGTTTTCAATTCACTCAGCAAGTTAGAATTGCTATGAAAATTAAGGAGTAGGAAGAGGGAGAGAGAGAGAAAGCCATTGACAGGATTAGGGGAGACAGTCCCCTTTGGATGAGACAAAGCTGATGCAGTGCATCCAAAGGGAAACATGGGGCATCTGTGGTGGTGGACAGCAGCCCAACAACTAATCCTGTGCTGGCAGATCCACATGAAGCAATTAGTGAGAGGATTAGTGAGTCCAGCCCAGGGGGTTAGTGAGTGGGTCACCCCAGCTAACAGCCTCCACTTGAGTGGGTGAGGTTAGAGGCCCCAATCTCATTTGTCCCATGCTTCCAAACTGCAGAATATTTGGCAAATCTCTCAAATGCCATAAGCATGAGGAACTTAGTGGTTGCCCCCCCCCCCCCTCATAGACTTCCTTCTGGTTTGCTTTGGGACAAGGGAAGGAGGGTCAACTTTTTCCCTTTGCTTCTGTTTTTTGGGACCTTTTATTTTCATTAGCTCTGTGTCTCCATGTTAGGGTTCAGTGCTTTTGAGGAGTCTTATGATTTTGGACGAGATGGACACAGTTCTACTGAAAGACTGGTTTTGGATTTTGGATGGCAATTGAATTGTCTGTTTCCATGAATAATGTAGTGCAAGTTCAAAATGCATGTGTTGTGACATGTATTTGATGGCAGAGATTGTCTTCTGATTGGCTGTGAAGAAGGGAACACAAGAATTATGGAAACCAAGGAACAAGGGAACCAAGAAACCATGGATGATTTTAAAGAATATTGTGCATATATAATATTTCAAATAAATTAATAAATCAAATATATATGTATATATATATATATATATATATTGCATTTTTTTCGTACATGTTAAAAAAAACCCAAAAGAATTACTGAGGTTTAAAAAACATAATCTAAGTTATCTTCTACTAATCTAACATTCAATAAAAACTGACATAATATTTCTAAATTTTTATCAAAAAGAAGTTGTGAAAAAACCTCATTATATTAGAACGAAAATAAATAAAATAATTTATAAAAAATAAAGATCAGTTACTATATTATAAATTATATCTTTATTTCTGTTAAATTTTTGCTGAGTGATTTATGAGTTTTATAAAATATTCTTATTTCCTACATAATGATGAGATATACATATATGTATTAGTTATCTTACAAATTATTCAATAATTGTTTTTTTTTGTATTTAAATGGATTAAAAAAAAACTTAGTATGTACTTTTTGTTACAAGGTTTTAGATTCTTAAGCTGAAATCTTAATACTTTATTTCTATGGAATAAAATCATGAATTATAAATAATTATATATATAGTGATTTATGAATAATTTTAGATATAAGGTAGTAAAAACTTGGAAGTTTTTACTTAATATTGACATATAGATAAGATAATTTAAGAATTTACATATCTAAAGTAATATAAAAATATACTTTAAATACTAATTAAGACCATTATAAATTATTTTATTTTTTTAATAATATTGGTTCTTTTTTTAATTTTAATTTTTTAATATCTATACCAAAACAATAATATAAATTTCATGATAATACATGATAAGATTAAAATATTTTTAAAATTTTAAATTAGAAAAAGTGACTTTAAATATATTACTAAATTTAATTGAACAATATATTATTAATAAGTTTGGAATATTAATTTTAAAAAAATAATAATTAATTTTTATTATATTTAGTATTTTTTTAAAATTAAGTTTTATATACTAATTTTATTTTTATTCTATATAAGTATATTCTTATTAAATAAGAGAACATAAAATTAACCCACTTAAAACTTAAATCAACTCACATGTCTCTACTTTGCTATGCTCTTGTAATATCTACAACTTTGTACTTTCTTACTAACTCCTCAATTTTATACTTGGTAATTTGTTGATTTAACAAAGAGATAAGAGGAATAGAGAATGAAAACTCTTGAGAAGAGTTTTAATGCAACTTAGAAGAAGAAAAAGGAATT